TTTTTTTCTTTTCTATCTCATTCTCATTATTTTGCTTTAGCTATTTTCCAAACTTGAATTTTTGTTTATTTACATGTTATATTTAATCGCCCCCTGTCTTTGTATAGCTTAAGAGTTCATCGTAATCTACTAATACTTTAAAATATAATCCCGCCCTATTAAACCAGTGATACAGTGCGAGCAGCCGGTTGTCAGAAACGGTCAGCTTATTTGCCCATTCGTGAACTACAACTCGGTCTGTATTCTGTCATGTGATGCGGGCTACAATCCCATTGGTCAGCAGCAAACGTTGTGTTTGGCCAATAAAACATGGACACCCTATGGACAATGTCTAGGTATGATAGCTCCAAGTGTAGGTAGATTTAACATTGCTAGTTCTACTAGTTTACAATTATAATAATTTGTAACATTCCCAGTCATATTAATATTATGGAAACTAGTAGTTCTATGCTTTTTAAAATCTAGCATTACATTATTTACTGTCATCTAGTGTTGAGACACCACTTAAATGGATATATTTTAACTATTTGATAGGCTTGTGTAACGGGTATTTTAACGACCATTGAAGCTCACACGCCGATAATGTACCTAGATACATTTTTCTTACTTCAGACGTTCAACCACCAACCATCTCTTGCCCGACCACAATAGAAGCACCAGCTGGGCCAAAGCTTGGACAGGCTGAGGTCTTCTGGGACAAGCCGGAAGTGTCCAACAACTCAGGGCTTGAAACCGAAGTTGTTAGTGACGTCTTTTCCGGTGCCAACTTTAGCGTGGGAACACACGTAGTAACATTTACAGCAACAGATGCTTCTAAAAATAGAAACACTTGCAAAACTTTGATCGTTGTCAAAGGTACAGCTATTGATAACATTCCTGCCAGCCTATCAATAAACGCTTGGATTGTACTAAATCAGTTTGGTGTCACTTAGTAGAAAGCACCGTTAATGGCAGTAAAAACTCGAGTTTAGTATTTGATTCTTTTGAGATAAAGTGAGATCACCCTATTCGGAAGGTGACAGGACCATACTAGGGAGAAAGAAATGTTGACTAGGCATGGTACTTATCACACCCTCTCGTAGTTTTCTAAGTTCATAGAAATATGTTTTCGTTTTACAGTAATCTACTGTCCAGAATACACACCAGCATATAAAGCAGACGTGACATGTTCCCATGGTGCCGCCTACGGTTCTGAATGTATCTCCACGTGTCACCCTGGCTACGAATTACGTAACGTCACAGAGCGCGCGCAGACGTGTTTATCGAACCAGACATGGAGTGACGTCAAACCTGGCTGCAGACGTAAGTGTCTTAAGGGTCATACGCGTTAGGTCGTCCTAAATTCTTACATGTATAAGATGTCTTTATCATTAACATAGACCGCAGACAAATGTCGATAAATCTCAACTTTTACGCACCATAGTGTCTAGCCAACTTGTTATACGTTAAACGCTCTCTTTCTCTCTGTCTCTCTCTCTCGATATATATATATATATATATATATATATATATATATATATATATATATATATATATATATATATATATATATATATATATATATATATATATATATATATATATATATATATATATATATATATATATTAGAGTGACGTTCGTAGAGTGAGTGATAGAGTGATAACACCTCCCTGTAGCCTTCCCCCCACTCCTTGCCTGCGTCACATATCTTCAAAAAGATGTTCTTTTTTCAAAAATATTCAGCTCGCAATAAGTAGGCTAGAACGTAAAAATTAGCTCCTTTTAGCCTTAGGGCACATCGCCTTAAAATATCCAGGACTTAATTACTTAATTAACATCTTAAGCATATTTTGTTTTAAATTACTCTGAACAGCACGGACATGCGCAGCGCCACCCAAAGTCCTACAGGGACAGTTCTATTGTCCTCGGGGACATCAGTACAAAGAAAAGTGCCACCTCCAGTGTAACCATGGATACCAAGTCACTGGACGGTCAAGCATCACGTGTACTGTCATGGTTCGATGGTCTCAGGCAGGTTTTTGTGCAGGTAAATCAGATAATACGTAATAAGGTTGTGATCTCACCTGAACCTGTTTTTTTTTAACCGAAATGGCGTGTGTATCAACTGGGGCTGCTTTACTAGTTGATTTCTTCGGGCTCGGGTGCATGCACAAATTAATAAATGTCTTCGTGGCTAAATACTTTATCAATCATATCCTGAACTTTTGGGTCTACCAATTTGGAACAGCTATCAGAGGCATGAACAATAAATACTTTTAAAGCTTTTTTAATACAGAACCATTTAGCCTATTGCAATTTGTTGGTTTTTTGCGCTGAAATATTGTGATATTTAGAACCATATTGTTTATCAGATAAAGAAATTATGCCGCCATGGTGAATAATATAAATCCGCTCTTCGCATAAGATATGAGCGTCATTATATAAGTAAATTGAAATATACTTCTACGTGAACGTACTCTAAAATTCAATAACCGATCTGTCTCAGATGTGAGCGCCCCCTACTTCCCCGCCGGCTGCACTGACCAGATGAAAGTGGAGGCCGCAAGTCTAGGAGAGCCGACCTACGTCATCTACCAGCTACCGGAAGTTGAGGACAACTCTGGGATGGAGGTCACAGTTACAGGCGACCCTGTGTCAGGGTCCAGCTTCAGTCTGGGCACAACGGAAGTCACCGTCACGGCAGTGGACCACAATGGGAACAACGCGTCATGTTCGTTTAAAGTCACGGTTGAAAGTGAGTCTTTATATCTTAGTAAATAAAGTGTTATTTTATCTTCTTCGGTTATTTGTAAACCTCTTTTGAAATATTTCTAAAGACAGTTGATATGATGATATTTTAAAAAAAAACTGATACGTCACTTATTAATTTCATAATTTCCATAACTAGCTGTATGATTTTTACTGAAAACTATCACTACAAATATGTTCCGATTAATACTAAAGCACCAATAGTATCGCTGATGTAGCCCAGACTTTTAGATAATGGTTATCCTATGTGCCGTTACTGTAATTCGTGCTATTTTCGTCTATGTATAAAGTCGACCAGGAAAGTCTTACATCTTCTTTTTTACTTTCTCGTATATAAGATGTATAGAGATGTATAAAGTCATGTAATCGTGCAAAAAAAAATCGAGATTTGTACAAATCTCGACGTTTTACATCTCACTGATACGGAAAAACATAATTTTGCAATCTTGTCCGTATGTCTGTGTCTGTTTGTGTGTCTGTCTGTGTGTCTGTCTGTGTGTAAACACGATAACATGAGTCCCGTTAAGGCTAGGTTGATGAAATTTCATATATAAGTATTTTATCAAAATCATAGATCCTGATCAACTTTTGAGCAATTTCCGATATCCGGAAGTGGTACTTTTTTTACTTTGAAATTTTCAAAAGCCTATAACTTGAGTATTATCAGATAGATAAATGAAATTTCACATGTAAGTAAAAGATCGAATTCTCTACCTTCTGTCAAATTTTGAGTAATTTCCGTTGACCGGAAGTACTAATTTACGCTATTTCCGATTTCTCAAAAAACGCATGTAAATTTATAAAGTACTAATAATATTGCGCACTATTATGCACTTTTTGTTTTGGCGTTCGCTTGGTGTGCAATTCTTTTTTCTATGAGATTCTATTCTATTTTTAAAAGTTTAAGTAATTAAAAATCATGTCTATATTCCAAGTCATATAAGAATATTCGAGAAAGTTTAGGGGAGATCACTCCCGGTTTATTTTCTTAATTGTAATATTGGACGGAATTTCCTTCAACAGAATAAACTGATACGTGTAAACACATTAGGCGACACTTGGCCCTTTGACTCCGACTTGGGCCTGCTTTTCGATTTGGATTTCTTTCCATAGCCTTTGTCCATCCAGGACCTATTCGCAACGCAGCAGTTGTTTGATTTTTAAAATTTTATTCTCAAAGATGGGTTGCTTTAACCCATAAGCCCAAAAGTCGTGACTCTCTAATAGCAATCAAGCGTGGCCCAGACCAGTGGCGTCGCAAAGTTGGGTGTCATCTGGTGCGGTACCTTAATGGTGTCACCTTCCAGCCACCCCCACCCCCTCCGAAAACATATACATTGATTTTAGCCATATATCACACAACTTTGAATAGGGGTAGAAAAATAATCCATTAAACATATCACACATCATTGATAAGAAATCAACTACTTAAGCACAATGAAATGTACAGCTATTGCTCTACTGGTGTATGCCACCCCCTTACATATTTACACAGACACTCACACACATACACACACACACACGTAGGCTGTTGTAAATAATAATTTGCTTTATAGAGTGATATGTAAATTTCCAATGTGGTTTCATTCCAATCCACTTTGGTTGACTGTGTATTTGATGCCACTCCGTAACGTTTAGTCAAAATGCGTCAATTTGTGCATGCACCTAGAAAAATCATTTAGGGGCCTAAGAGTTATAAATTCAAGTGAAAAAATCATTGTATTTGTTAGCAAACCTTTTTCCTCAGGCAAATTTTGCAACGTTTAGTTGGTGTGTCCTCCCCCCACCCCCTTCCCGGTGATAGCTTTAAACTATGCATAGACAATACTAACGATGTTCATGTATAGTCGGTTATAAATACAGCTGGATGTAGTATTGTTTTCTATATCTTTAGCAGGTTTACGCCATGGTGTCACCCCCCCCCCCCCCTCCCCCTTGCCGTGATTTAGAAGACTTTAAAACTCTAATAATCATTTATTTAACTGGAATGATCGTTATATATATATATATATATATATATATATATATATATATATATATATATATATATATATATATACATATATATATATATATTATTTTTTGCCATAGTGTCAACCCCTCCCCCAAATCAGAGTTTCTACCAGGCGGCATCTCTTCGAACGAAATGAAATTTATATAATTTATATAGAAAAATATACTTTTAACAGTGTCCGCCACCGCCCCCCCCCCCCCCCCCCGAAGAAAGTCTACCGCCCCCACCCCCCCCCCCCCCCGAAAATTTCAAGTGCCCCCCGGAGAAAAAAGTCTGGAAGAAACACTGCCCCAAATGTTGTCACCCGGTACGGTCCGCACCCCCTCTTTCCCCCCCCCCCCCCTTCTCTCCCTCGCGACGCCTCTGGCCCAGACAAACTACGCCGTCTTATTGAACTTTTATGAACGCCTGTGGACTGAAGTGATAAAGGGATCTAAAACTCAAATTTTGTGTGGACATCATAATTGTACGACCCGTTCATATTTGTTACATGTGTACATTGTGAACCCCCAAACCTGGACGTATCTGGCCGGAATCTTATGGTGTACAACTGTGGGGGAAGGTTCGTGTGGGGATCAATCTGTCAGCTGACCTGTGCTAATGGGAACCCCATACAGGGCAGCAGCTCCATTAGATGTGAGAAAGACGTCGCGGGGAGTCTGCGCTGGAAGGTGTTGGGAGATAGACCACCATTTTGTGAAGGTAATTTTGACTCCATTATCCCAACGTCGCCTTCAAATCCCAAGCTATACGTAGACACGTACTCAATATTTAATAGACTCACATTCCTATTTCATCGCGTTACTCTTCCATTACAAAACCTCTTGATGTTTTTTTTTATTAGAGCTACTAAATGACTTATTGAAATCTGAAATCTTTGCTATAACAGTACTTCGTATATTTTCCTCTATTGTTCATAATTGCAGTCGCGACTTGTGGTAAACTCAAATCTCCTAGAAACAGTATAACCTCCTGCGTGGCCTCATCGGTGTGGGAGATATGTGTAGTGACGTGCCCTGAAAAAATGTCGTACCCTGCCAGCGTTCCGTCCATCTACCGATGTCAAATCTCGTCAGGTTTATGGCAGCCTTACGACTACGTTCCGGAATGTAAAGGTGAGGTCTATATCAGAATATAAAGGTGAGGCTTATACCAGACTATAAAGTTGTTGTTTATACAAGAATGAAAATCTTAGTTCTAAACTCCCTAATAGTGAAATTCCATGGTTCTCATTTTGAGGATGTGGTTATCAACACAATATAGATATGAGGTTGTCTACGTTAAAGTTAGTTTTTTTATGTGTTAGTAAAATTTATCTGTAATAGAAATACATATGTGTGTTTGTGTGTGTATAAATTCTGTTGTTTTCTTCTGGACGCAGCGGCCTCAGACTACGAGAGCGTTCAGATCGAGGCTGTGTTCATGTATTCTGTCGGGTCGTGTAGCAGCAGTACTGACGTCAGCGGGAGGTTTTTAAATCGTCTGCTGGCCAGTGACCTAGCCAGAGACTGTGGACACTCAGGGTGTAACTTCACCAATGTCAGGGTCGACTGTGAACCTGTAAATGAGAACAGACGGTCTGCTGAGTATAAGGTAAGAGTTAACCTTTCGGCAAGAAATGGTTTAAAAAACAACATCGTCCTGTTGCTAAATGTTGCAATTTCTTTAAACGCTGACAAATTGTTGCAGATTGCTTTAAACGCTGAAAAAATCTTGATTATTGCTGTAACGATTGATCTAGTTCGACTCCCCAACAAGAGTCATGACGCTGGCCTCCTGGACTTCTACCAGTCGATGGCCAACTCTATAGACGACAGTCTGTACCACGAGGAGGAGAAGGGCACGTTCAGGATCCCTGAGATTGGCCAGTTTGAAGGATTCCACTCTAGCAGTGTCAAATACCTGTGCCGCCCTGGCACCAAGTTCCTCTACACAACTATGCTATGTGGTAAGATAATTTACTTGAATTAACGCAGTATGTTTAACGAAGAACGTTTGTGGGTTTTGAACTTAGTCTTTGTTCCCCTTATAGTAAAAAATTGAATAAAAAAAGTTTAAACTGCAATCTTTTATATAAATATTCACTAAAAAAAAGAGAAAATAAAAGATTTTCTGTGTCACAGAATAAAGAACTACTATTAACATTATTAAAAAGAAAAGCGTGGGTCGTTATATTGTATGTTGAATATCTTTACTTGAGTTTAAGAAGCTACCCACGCTTTTCTTTTTAGTTATTTTAAAAGTAGTTTATTATTATATTTACAGAAAATCTTTTTTTCGCTTTTTAGGGCATTATTACATGAAACTTTGTTTAAAAAAGCTTCTTCCGTGTTTTTATAATACATTAAAATTGTAAATACTGTAGGCATGTTTGACTAAAATCTATTGCGCACCAAATGAACACGAACAAATGCGCGATAAATAGTACTTTATATCCGAATTTTAAAATGTATTTTTTGAAAATTAATGAAGCTAAGTCGAATTCGATGTCAGATTACATTGTCATAGGTTCTTGACATGTTTGCAACCAATCGGTAAGTTAGAAGTGGTCGAAGTTTAGCTCGTCAGTTCCGATCCATTACGAAGCACGACAGGTAAAATAATGAGAATGATGGTTAAATAAAAGCTTGTTATAAAAATAAACAATTTACCGTCTCAAGAAGAAATTACATCGTTCGCTTCTAACTCTACCACCTTATATAATGGCAGTCTTAAAATATTTGTAAATGTTAAAGATTAAATTGCTGTAAATTATTTTTGTGATCTCTTTAATTCAGCTGGGTGTGGTCCTGGCCACATGTACGACAACACAACCAACAGCTGTAGAGTTTGTCCTAAAGACACATACCAGGACCAGGACATTTCCTTCAGCTGTACACCATGTCCTAACAATACAGTGACACAAGCTGAGATGGCCACGTCAGAAGCTCTGTGTTTGGGTAAAATAGTTTCAAATGTTTTTCTGTTATTGTGTGTTACGCTTTATTTTGTTGTTCCCACATCCTGTAAAATGTTTTTATTTTGTTCACACTTCAGACCTTTGCAGACCTGGCCAGTTTTCCAACAATGGAGTCCAGCCGTGTGACCCTTGCCCAGTTGGCTCTTACCAATCCAAATATGGGATGAAGTCATGTGACCTCTGTCCATACGGCATGTCCACCGTCAATAATGAAACAACTGTTATTGATGATTGTATATGCAAGTATATTTTCAAGCAAATGTTTTTATTTTACATGTGACATACGATTAAAACTTGTATAATCAGCGAAGTGTATTACTAAGTTAATCTAGCTAAACGTTTACGTGGTTCAATTTATTTATCTCCAGTTTTCAACACCCGACTTAGCGAGACCACCTCCCAGGCAGCCATACAAATATTTGACAAAATTCCAACGACCTTCACCTTTATGACCTGGCTCACCTCGGCCTCCACACTTATGACGTCATCATTGACCTTCTCATTGGGGTCAGACCAGGACAACTCTACTGCAGCATTTTTAGCCCTGGACAAAATAGTTCTAGCCATCCGTGAACAGAGGGACATTGGAGGGTTAAAAGTTATAAGGTGAGGAGAATAAACACAAACTTTTGTCTAGCTAGACTGACGACGATTGGCAGATTGAATGCATTTAGGTCATTGTTTTTAAAGCTAATAAATTTACCATCACGATCATTATGGCCATTGATCAACAATAAGTCTAATTTGTATCAACACACATTACTTTATGTTTGATTTTGATATGAAATATTTCAACATTAATTGATTCATTGTTTATTACTTTAGAACAATGATTCAAACCTTTATAATTCCCTCTAGTATTTTTTTGTCTTTACTTAGGAAATGGCACCACATAGCCCTCACCTACAAGAAGGGAGCCGTTAGGTTTTTTCTCAACGGGGAACTGGTCAGTGAACGGTCACGTGTGAGACTGTCTCGGCTGTCTCAGAAGTCTCTCGTCTTCCAGAAATCGGCAGAAGTTAACGGTACTTTGGCTAAAAGAGTAGTTTGCAGACAGTAATATAATACATACCTCTTTTGTCATAAAAACTCTTTGTCTCATGCGTGCACACACATACATAAACATTTGGATGTGTATTACAGTACATGTCGATAACTAAAAACATCATGTGCTGACATCTGAATGTGTCACTCGCTTAAATCGTGATACAAAATAAAGTTTACTCGCTTCAGAAAGGGTATTTATAAATTTGTGATAAAGTGTTTGTTTTAATAATAACGTGGATAGCGTGGTCTGTTGCTCCAATATATGATAGCTAATTTGTAAGCTTCAAGATCAATTAGCGAACTTTATCTGTAGAACAACATAGGTTCTGTCGTGAAAGCCAAGGCCGCTTGATAAAGTGGTGACCATACTATCCTATCACATGCCAAGATGTATTTAAGATTACATTCAAAATTAATCATTTATACTTTAGATTCACAAGTAAAAATGTATTTAATAAAATGCTAGTGCTTGCGTCCACAGCTGTGGTAGTGAGTGGCCCCCAGCTGACCACCAGCTTCTACACAGAGCTCCAGCTCCGAGAGTTTGCCACTTCCTGTCACAAGAAGGTCAAGACAAATCTACTGGCCAGAAAACCTTGGGAGTTTCTTGCCCTTTCTCCCAGCACTTGCAACGGTGAGTAAAGTAATTAAGTTTCAGGAATAAAATGTAATAAAACGTACTTGTATTATAGTTTTCTTTAATGTGGTAATTAGAAATGATAAAATGGGTATTATTTCTAAATATCATCTAATTGAAAATCGGACGATTATTTTGCCTTATAACTTTTGTTAATTTTTTCCCAGACTTGAACTTGTGTGACGGCGAGCCGTGTGGTCAACACGGTACTTGTATCTCTGGTCTGGACACGCTTCAGTGCTTGTGTCACACGCCATGGTCCGGGGATCGATGCCAGGTGGCTCCAGACTTTTGTGCAGACAACTTGTGTGCTAACGGCGCCACCTGCGTCAATCTGCCAAAAAAAAATACTTACAAATGTTTCTGCGCTCCAAACTTCATGGGCAAGTTGTGCACTAACCTTAGAAGGTATGTTTCAGCTACAAAATGAATACTTAGTCAATCAAATGTTAAGCCACGATTTTAGCGTAAACGGCATGAAATTTTTTTCTGGTACCAGATTGACATACACACACCCACACCCACACAACACCCACACACACTAATATATATATATATATATATATATATATATATATATATATATATATATATATATATATATATATATATATATGTTTATATATAAATATATTGGAGTGGAATTATTATTAATATCCAACATCCACGGTTTACGTGTTTTATTATTTTTCAGACAGAAAAATCGTGTCCGCCAAAATGCTGGGATGGCATTAAACTAATTTCGTATTGCAAATCATTTAACTTTCTCTCTTACATTTTTTTTTTCATATTTACTCTTCCTTAGAAATTTTTATTGCACTTGTATTTTTCCACATTGTAATGAGTGGTATGAATGTTATGTCACAATCGTTTTTAAAAAAATCTTAGCCACTAATTGTGATTAAATAAAAAAGGATTCTTTTTTTATTAAATTATCAATCAAAAGTTGCAAAAATATGCAAAATAAAAAAAATATTCCATTTCCTTTTTTTAAATACGTTATTTTATTGTTTTAACAATATATCTCTATGTTTCATTATATCATATATATTTACTATCATGCACTTACTATTTAGTTTTATTCTGCCAATGTATCTTAAGCTTATCTACTCATCTCTGTTAACACTATTTTAACTCAAAGCGTTTGAATAAAGGTATTGCTTCTATTTTGTTCGTTTGTTATTCCTGAGGATAAACATTTGATAGTGGAAAAGTAAAAAAAAAGGACAAAGGACTGTTCACGATTTTGCCAAAAGCTAGCAAAATTGTACTTAACGTATGTTGGATCTATACAATAAAATTTCATGCTTTCTACATATAGTTTCTGATTTCTTATCTAATATAAATTATGATCATATGTATTTTATAATTTCATTGTTAAATTTGTTTTCATACATCTAGAATGTCTTACGCCGACAAAAATTGTGTTTGCTTCACTTAAAATTTAAGTTCTAGTTTTATTAAAACCGTCACTTTTGTCTTTAGTTTTCATAACCTAACTTTTGACATTCACAGCTACCAAACAAGGAAGTAGAATAAATAAAATGTTGACTGTTATGTTATCATATTTTAGCAATTAACCAATAAATTGTATTCTCGATTTAATGGGAAATGTTTATGTACATTAAATTTAACATCATTGCAATGGATGGGGATGGTGGGAGTTACCCACAAGATTTGACTAGACATATATGTATATATATATAAAGCAAAGTGGTCGGATGCGGGATAGGGCACTTCCCGACGCCGCAGGCGATTCAAATTTGGCAGGATTCCACCTTTGGGCAATAGAACACGAGAGCCGGTACCGGTTGGCCTCAATGTCCACGAATAAGGGGCAAAACTGACCTCGACTGACCGGCGCATTAAATGGGCTATATGAAAAAACACTTTTGCCGAACGACCCCCCCCCCCCTTGATACTTTGTGAGGGGGTAGAAGAACGCCTGGGGGTGTCAGAAAAAACTCGGCATATCTGGGAAAACTTGGTAAAGTGGTCAAAACTAAGCAGTCATATTTCCCTATATAATCTTTGTATTTTATGGAAAAAACAGAGGGTAATTTCAACAAAGATTTTAGGGCACTTACCATCTTTACATCTGGTTAATTTGTTGCACGCTCTTAGGTAAATGGCTATGCCGTATGGGAACACTGTCGGTTTGAAACAAAGCCCTCAACAAGGGCTAAAATGTGACCGAGTGAAAGTCTGTTTATATGAGTTATATAACGAAGAAAAAACTTTGGCCAAACGAACCCCCCCCCCCCCCACACACACACACTTTGGTATTTTGTTGGGGTGGTAAATGAAAGCATAGGGGTATCAGAAAAAACTTGCCATATCCGGGAAAAATCTACAAATAGGTCAAAACTTACCAGTCGCATTTCCCTATATAATCTTTAATTTGTATGTGAAAAACTAGGTAATTTCAACACACATTTTAGGATACTTGACCTCTGTACATCTTGCTAATTTTTAGCATACACCTCTATAGATGATCAGGCCGTATAGAAAAACTGTTGGTCAGACTCAAAACCCTCGACGAAAGCTAACAAAATGACCCAAGTGAAATTCTCCTTATATGAGATATATTTAAACAAATTGACGAACGATCCACCTAATATTTTGCGAGGTCCTAGACTGACCCTGGAAGGTAACAAAAAAACTTTATTCCGGTTGGATAAACCCCTTAGTATTCTTAGATGTGTCAAGATACATTATATTCTAATATAAATCACTAGGCATGCTGTCCAGCTTCGCGTAGGCTTTCGAAAACAATTTGAATGCTTAATTAATTCGCCCGAGGGTCGGTCTACAACCTCAGGAGTTATGAAGAGGTTCCTACGTGGACATTTGTTTTCGATTTATAGCTCATATAAGGCGCCGGTCAGTCGAGGTCAGTTTTGACCCCCCTCACCGTAGACTTTTCGGCCAACCGGCACCGGCCCCCGTGTTCTGTCGCCCCAAGGCAAGATCCTGCCTAATTTGAAGCGCCTGCGGCGCCGGGAAATGCCCAATCGGGCACCCGACAACTTTGCTTTATATATTACGAGCCGACCCGCGGCGTATCATACGCCGCTATTTAGTTGTTTCATTTTCTACTTTTCAGTAATTCATAATTTGTGAATTCGACAGTACCAATGCTGCCACTGAAAATATTTGCTTTAAAATACTACCCCCCCCCCTTTCCCCTAACCCCGACCCTACCCCCCCTCTCCCACCGTGAAAGCAGCCTCCTCTTAGTTACCTCCTGTAAGTTTAAAATCGTTTCAAACTAAATTATCTGTCCCTAATAGCCGTCACTAAACCCGGCTGTACGATATGTAAACATTTAGTTTGACTACAACGCACCAAACCATGTGGGGGTGGCTTGGGGGTGGTAGTAATAGTGATATAGAGAAAGAGAGGGGACTGTAAGGCGCGCTTTGCAGCTTTTTTTCTAGCGTCTCCCAGAAGAGAATTATATATACGAGCCGGCCCGCGGCATAACATACGCCGCTATTTAGTTGTTGTTTTTTTTTCTACTTTTCAGTAATTCATAATTTGTGAATTCGACAGTACCAACGCTGACACTGAAAATATTTCTTTAAAACACTATAAGTAGCTCGTTAAGGACCATAACCCCCCCCCCATTACCCTCCCCCCACCACGTTTAAAATAGTTTCAAACTAAATTATCTGCCCCTAATAGCCGTCACTAAACCCGACTCCACGAAGGTAAACATAGCGTGAACCACAGCTCACTAAGACCATGTAGGGGTGGGGATGGTAGGGAGCGCGCTTACAGCTTGTTTTCTAGCGTCTCCCGGAAGAGAATTATATATATATAGATAGATAGAGATTTTTAGTATAGAAATGTATTATTCGAATAGATTCTAGATCTAGGTAGGGTCTACATCTGTGTAAGTTTAGTTTTTCCGTAGATCTAGATAGCGTACGTAGATCTAAATAATATTTGAATGAAATAGTTCATTTCTTTTTATTCTAAACACGGCGGATGACGTCATTAGTTTCGTGCTCTTTTTTAGTGTAAACATTAAGTGACGTCATTGTTAAATGCGCTCTTGTCCCAACTATAAACATTTTTCCGGTTGCATAATTAATACTGTTTTTCTACATTCGAATACGCCTTTAATTTTTATTTTTCTCCTTTAAATAAAATGTTGGTTATACATTTAAAACATCTAACATATTATTTTCAACCAAAGTCCGTATCAAGTCCTCCATATACCGCTGCCGGCGAAAATATTTTGCGGACAGACACAGAGAGAGAGAGAGAGAGAGAGAGAGAGAGAGAGAAGTGCGCACATGGGCTATTAGAATCTCTAGATCTAGAAGATCTAGAATCTCTAGATCTAGATGATCTAGAGTATCTAGATCTAGAATATCTAGATCTAGAATCTTAATAGAATTTTTTTTTAAAGTTTAGCCCGAGCAAAATTGCATTGTATAAATTTTATAGCGTACGTAGCTCTAAATCATATTTGAATGAAATAGTTCATTTCTTTATTTTATTCTTAACTCGGAAGATGACGTCATCAGTTTCGTGCTCTTTTTTTAGTGTAAACAATAAGTGACGTCATTGTTAAATGCGTCCTTGTCCCAAGCATATACATTTTTCCGGTTGCATAATTAAAATTGTTTTTCTACATTCGAATACGCCTTTATTTTTTATTTTTCTTCTTTAAATAAAATTGTGGTTATACATTTAAAACATCTAACATATTATTTTCAACAAAAGTCCGTATCAAGTCCTCCATATATCGCTGTAGATTCTGATGTGATGTCCGGCGAAAATATTTTGCGGACAGACAGAGAGAGAGAGAGAGAGAGAGAGAGAGAGAGAGAGAGAGAGAGAGAGAGAGAGAGAGAGAGAATTGCGCACAGGGTCTTTTATATATTAGGATAGTTTGTGAAAAAGTAAACAAAGACTACGTCATTGGTTCTATGTACAGGGGAGGTAACTTTTTAAAGTTATAATTTTAAAATAAATTTTATACTATTTTAAAGAAAATATTAAAATCACGAAGTATACCATTCGTTTAGATAGATATTTCGTTATAAATTACGTTATATATTGTACTTTTTTGTAAAAAATTAGTTACGATATGTTATTATCTTTATGCATTGTCTATTTTCATCATCCTGGCCCTCACAAAGTGGGCTAAAATTGGGCCATTTAAATATTTTCTAAATATTTAATAAACACCAGGAAGTTCTAAAAATTTTAAACAATTCCAACAATCCTTTCCATATCTTTGGTTTCTCTGAAACTCGATTACAATCTTTTAGAAATGATGTTGAGATGTCCTTTTCTGATTATAACCTAATACGCAGAGACCCATCCTTACACAAAGAAACTGGCCTTTGTGTCTATGTCCACTCCTCAATTCGTTTCAAGTACAGGAAGGATCTCTTAACGGACATTATAGAACGTATATGGATTGAACTGAAAATAGCAAACACCATCCGGCAATTTTAATTTGCTTCCTTTATAGAAATCCCTGCGAAAACATGGATTGGTATGATCGGTTTTGCTCCATGATAGATCCCGTTTTATCTACTAACAATGAATATATCATATTGGGAGATTTTAATATAAATTTATTAAAACCTCAAGGATATTGGCAAGATATTGTTGATTCTCTGAATCTAAAACAATGTGTAAACACGGCTACCAGGGTCAATGATAAATCAAGTACAATAATTGATCACATCTACGCATCACCTGACTGCAACCTAATAGAGGCCTGTGTCCCCTCTTGTGGTGTTAGTGACCACTTCCCTGTTTGTTGTACTTTTTCGACGAAAAGATTATGTGTACCTTCGCGGCAACACATAACTATAAGTTATCGCTCTTTTAGAAAATTTAATGAAAATCCTATTCTTGCGGATTTATTGGCTGACCCCTTCTGCAACGTATACAATTATAATAGTCCCGATCTAGCCATTTCTGAATGGCTAGATCGGGACTATTATAATTGTATAATTTGCACCCCCCTCAAACTTTCAATTTGGCGCCCCCCCCCCAAGTTCGCGCCCGGGGACATATGTCCCCCAGCCCCCCCCCCCCTCGCTACGCCTCTGGCTGGCCACTTAGCTGTGATATCAATTTCGTCAGCATACTAGCATAATTGGTATGTATAATACAACAGGTCGCAGATAGCCATTATTTGAGTAACTATACACAGAAGGAAATAAGTTTCCGGTTTAAAAATCGATTAAGTGTTACCGTTATTCCTC